AGCGTGTAGATCGCTGGAAAAAAATGTCTTTTTCAGATTCTTTCTTCATTCTGGCTTCTAGTCTGAGTAGAGGAGGGGAACAAAATGGAAAATGAAACATGTGAATAAATGAGTGAGAGAGATGGAAAGTGTGTATGTGTGAGTGAGAGAATTTTTGCTAACTTTAATTATTTTTAAAGGACTTTCTGCAATAGAGTGAAAAAAAAAAAGTAGGAATTGACTTTAAAAATATATTTTTAATATTACTTGTTGTTACTATTATTAATTATTTTGTATGATGTAGTTACATTGTTCAATTCGCAATGTATTCAGTATAAACTGTGGCAAGTCGGACAAATCCGACTCGCTAGCAGAAGAGGGGGAGACAATATATATATAGTATATTATTAATTTATTAAAAAATTAACTTATTATTTTTATTTTTTCAATTAATAAAACAAATTATGTACATATATTTATTATTATTAATTATATTTTTAAGAAGGCAATAAAAAAAATAAACAATAGACGTAAAAGTGATTGAGGGGAAATTGTGACTCAGAGAAACTGCATGGTCGTTCGGAAAGGATGAATACTATTCAGAACAGCGTAAGGTCTTTTGTGATTTCTGAAATCAGAAATATCGTCATCGTCTTTGCGAGATCCTTCAAAACAGAATTATTATTATTTGGAATGGAGTGGTGAAATTTTATAAACAAAGTGTTTAAAACTTGGGAGGGAAAGAGCCTGTCTGATATCCTCGTTTCTGAAAACCATGGCGAATTTGTAATCATACGTAGGATTTTATTTTCAAGTCTTTGTAGGATCTCCAAATTCGACGGAGTAGTAGATCCCCAAATAGGACTCACATATGCAAGTATTGGAATCAAGTAAGCAATAGAAATGAGTTTTTTATTTTCCAGGACATAGTTGAGTTCATACAAATAAGTGGATACAGTACATAATTCCATTTATGATCTAAGATTACACTCAAATATTTACCCTGTAGCAATTAATAGGATTATTCTAAATTTTGATAGAAGGAGTGTTATGAACCCTTTTACGCGTGAACCCCTGCTTCAACGTTTAATTGAATTTTCCATTTTATAAGCCATTGCTCTAGATGATTAATATAATTCTGAAGGTTTTTACTAATGATAAAATGACCTATAGTCAGGAGAGCTGCATCATCTGCAAAAAACTGATTGCCACATTATAAATTTGCGGAATATCATTAACATAAAGATTGTAGAGAAATGGACCAAGTGTTGAACCTTGAGGAACACCAGTCTGAATTTAAGAAAATATGGGCACACATAAACACAAGTATCTTGATTTATATACAGAAAGGAAAACAAGAAATTATTATAAAAGAATATTTAAATAAATAATCCGTTGGAAAGCTGTTTACATTAATAAACGTCAACAAAAGAAAAGTTCAAATAATCAGCCGTGCAGATGTGTAGGTTAGACATAAAATTTAGAATTTAATGCCAGAATTATAAAACTGCAGAATTCCGAGCGATTATCTTTTCTTGCAAAATCTCATTTTCACTTTGAAATAAAATTATCTTTTAAAGCAATTTTAAGTTATTTAATTATATAATTATTAGCTTGTGAAAGAATTTCGATAAACATTACGTATAAAACAGCTAGAGAAAGAATTTTAAATCAACCCACGAAAATAGTTCATGAAATAAATTAACCAATAAGAAACGTTAAAAATCGATCAAGGACACGAAAAAAATGCTCAAGGAAATGAAAAATTCAGTTCTTCGAAAAATAAAATACCCATAATTTAATGGGTAAGGGAAAAAAAAAAAAGATACTTCGTATGCATGTTGTAATTTTTCCTAACTAGTATCTTTATTCTAGAAATGCACGTGAACATTCGAAATGCCCTGCCGTCAGACGTGGCCGCCATTTTATATTTGGCTCAGGCTATAGGACGCCCCGTGAGTTCGGACGATGTGCTGACATGGATGTCGATTGACCCACTGTCGCTTTTTGTTGCTGAAGTAGACGGCCCGCCCCCGCAAAAGAGGGGGGTGGTGGGGTTCTGCTGCGCGGCCAAGCTGAATGAAGACTCTGGATATCTCTCGCTGTACATGGTCCAGGAAAGTTTCAGGGGGAGAGGGAATCGGAACTCGGTTGTGGAACGCAGCAAGAGACTCCCTCGGACAGAGGAACATCGGGCTGAGAGCGGATCAAGACATGCTGGAGAAGTACAAGCAGAGGGAGGCTTCCATCAAGTTGATGATTATGCAGTTCTCATTGGGGAATGCTTTGGCGAATCTGGGCCAGAAAGTATCCAGTGGCCAGCAATGGTAGAAATTGCAACATTTACAGACGGAGCATTAACGTGTTTCCAGAAAAGGGCAAAACTTATCAGATAGGAAAAGATTTAATGTCAACTAAGCTGTCCATCGAGCTGAATTTTAATGATTGTTGTGGCCTTGAAGACTCGGAACAGAGAAAGGAGAACGAGAAGCTGTTGATGAAGCATTCTGTAGTAAATGTACAGCTATACAGTGTTGCAAACCGCGTGATCACCATGGAAATTCCAATGGCGCATATGGCTTCAATTCGGAACCAGTAGCTGTCCGAAAATTGTTCTGCGAAAGTTCAGGTGTGAAAATTTCCAATGGAACCAACACAAACTCATCAAGGGATCTTTCTCGAAATGTCATGACTAGCCCAAAAATTTGCGAAAATTGGGAAAACAAATCCGTTTGGAATGCTGAAGAGATTGTGGCCAGAGTTGTGGCGTATGATAGATCACTGCACAATCGCGACAGATCTCAACTCATACGACGCACTTTTTTTTGGTCTTCTTGCACTACCAAAGTCGCTCTGATGTCTGGAAAAATCGTAGGCTACGGCTGCCTGAGACGAGTCATTACAGGTCACTGGATGATTTCACCCCTCTATGCAGACAATGAAGTCGTCGCAGAGGCGATCCTGTTCCACTTGCTGCAAGGATTCGACTTCTCCAATCCAAAGAAAGGGGTCAAGATCTACTCTATAGACCAGAATTTTGCATGCACGTTGCTTTTGAAGAAATTTGGATTCAGAGAATGGCAGACGCTTTATACAGCATTTACGAAACATTGCGTAAAACTCAATATTTCTAAAATTTATGCTCTCCATTCAATAATGTGCGGCCTGGAATGAATCCTTTCAACGGAGCTTGGATCATTTCAAACTACTTGTGCTGATTTTGAACACCTATCTTTAAAATGCGATTTTCGACCAAAACATCGATTTTACATTTATTATATTTTTGAAAAGCTTGTATTTTAAGCTTTCTAACTAGTTTCACAGTTCTGTTTCTATCTTTTTTAGAACTGAAGTTCTGTTAGTTTAAACTTCTCTTGGAGATTTGTTTTTTGAACCGGAAGTACAATTTTTCGTAACTGGAAATGATAGTTTCAATATGTTTACCAACAAAATTTCCTCAATATTGATTGAAAAATTTATTCTAATATAAATAAAAAGCATTAAATGATGATTTTATCATTTAAAAAAAAAGTTAAAAAATTGTTGCCATCACTTGATCTAATAAAGAATCTGGCTGGAACTTTTTGTCTGAAAGTTTGTTTACATTTACTGTTGTGTGTTATTATATAAATCTAAACAACAATTGACTTTTCTATTTGTTTTGCAATATCAAAGGTTTTGAATATATTTAATCAAAACATTTGTAAAAGGCTAAATATTTTAAATTCAGGACATTTTTATTATATTTTTTTTTGCAAATAGGAGGAAAGTTGTAGAAAAAATGTCTAACAAATTTTAACAACTTCTTCAAAATAGAGCTCAGAAAATTTTCAGAGATTTAAGGAAAAATAGCACTATATTTTTAATAAAAAAGATATGAACTTGATAATTCAATTGCATTTTAATATATTTACAACATTTTTTTAAAGTAATATTTTTAATTAAAAGTTGTTTTTAGCTTTTTCTCAGAAAGAATTTTTACGTTTTTGTTTTCGCTTGAAACACCATAACAAAATTAAATTTGATACAAATGGTACAAAACTTGGTATAAATGTTTAATAGACTTTGGAAATCATTCTAGCTACATATATATTTTTATTTTAAATGTTAAACTTGGAATAATATGCAAATTTTCAAAAAATTTTCTGTCGACAGCATTTAAACTAATACAAAATAATAAATAATAAAGATATAAGTTTACCACAGGTCTATTCCCTTTAAAATGTTAGTACAAAAAATACAAACTTAGAAATTAAAAAAAATATTGATTTGATTTTGAGTTATCATGTTTTGTAACAGTATCAAATTTTGGCCATTTTTTACACTTATTTTAGTCTATCAAAATTTAAAAAATAATAATAATAAGGAATTTTTTTATGCTAAATCATAAGATTTTTGATGCATTCAAACCAAAAATGTACAGAGATAAAGTATTTTAATAATTTTAAAAAAAATTCCTTCGAAGGTGTTTGTGTACCTTAAGAAGATTACACAGAACTGACTTTAATGTTTCGCTAACTGTTTTCTGATGAAAATCTAACAAATGTACTTTAGTGCTGCCCGGTGTTCGAATATTTTTGTTCGATAATACTAGTAGCATGTGATGAACTTAATGTGTCCCATAATAATAGAAGCAAAAGAAAATTTTTCCGTTCATCTGTTTTAGGCATGTAGTTATTTTAGGGTACAAAACCCTGAAATACTTGCCTAAAACAAATGATAAATGAGAGCAACATATTGCACGGCGCTCATTTTTAGTCTGCGACGCAAGTAAACCAATCCCGTACTAAGTGTTTCGACAAAAGTGAAGAAATTTATTTTGAGTTTGGCACTCCCAACGCTCTCGATGCGTGGGCCCCGGTCTTTCATGAACTGGCGCGAGAAAACCTTTGACCTTGACCAAAGAAGAAAAAACAAAAGCAAATAAGGAAAGGAGAACTCTGATGGAGGAGAAAAGGCTGTCTCCTTTCTAGAATAATGACCACCTGCCCACTTACTCATTCAAGGGTTCTAGAGCAGGTATGGCCATACCATGCTGAATATACCGGTTCTCGTTAGATCACCGAAGTCAAAGCATCATTGGGCGCGGTCAGAACATGGGTGGGTGACCATCTGGGAACACCGCGAGCCGTAGGCATTCACAAATTTGGGACCTGAATGGCCGAGTGTCTGGCGCTCAGGGCCACAGGTTTTCGGGTTCGTATCCCGGCGGTGCCATGGATGTTTGTAGTGGTTCGAATCCACTTTAAGCCGCAGGTCCCGGTCTCCTATGACTGTAAGAGCGTCACGGAGCAGACAAACGGCCAGAAGCCTACGGGTGCTCCATCAGAACAGAAGCTGCACTCCTCCTCCCCTCCTTCCATGAGGGACACGACAACAACAACAACAGAGCAGGGATGGCCAACCCAAAAGATCTTGCTGGCTACTTTGGAAATGCATCCTAACTCCGCGGGCCGCCGCATATAAAATTATATTTCTCCCTATTAGATGTAGACCCACTGGGAGTTATTGGGAGTGAAAAATTGAAAACACAATGAGTTATTATTTCTGTGCTTACCATTATTCATACATGTAAACATAGATACTGTAATAATAACTATACTTAACGCACATTTCAAAAGAAATATAGAACCCTAAAAATGAAATATAAAAAATATGTAAATATAGAACACTCAAAATGAAATCATCAAAAAATATTTATTTGACTCCTGCGATAGTTGTTTCTCCACTCCTTCGCTGAACTTTTGCAAATCGATCTCCATTTGGGTATTTGAACATCGTAATGGATGTCCCAGGTTGGCGTCCGTTATGTTTGGAGGGTGTTTTGTGTTGGGTCCATTTCATTTTAGTAAAAAAACGATTCGCAGGTGTCAGTTGAACCCAAAGCGTAAACAACTTAAACTGAGAGCCTGGTATGCTTTTGCTATCAACAATCAGCTGTGCGTATCTAGGGATGGTCACTGTTTCATTTAAAGTGAAGCATAGAACCTGTTAAATTAGATGTTCCATAATGCCTGCTCGTCATAAGTTCGCAGAATATAATTTAATTATTCTGCGAACTCATCACTGTAAACTCATCCATAAAACAGGCACTATCTGTCCTGTATTCGCAAGAATATTAATTTAAAATCAAAGTTAATTTTTCTCAAAATTTGGACGGGTAATTTTGAATAGATATCCATCTATCCACACATAATGTATTTTTTCAATACATTGGTTTTCACTACTTTGGCCATTATAAAATAAATATATTTTGTAAAAGTGTGATCACACTTTTTTCACCTTTTCAATAAAAAGTTTGTTTTTATTTTGATAACAGAAGAAGTTGAGAAAAATCCCACGCTGTAAAAATGCAAAGAATGAGAATGCTTCTTTTGATTCCGTTGAATATAAAATCAAAAGAAGAAGTCGCATTATTCATCGGAATTTCTTTTTTCGATTGAACTTTTGAACAGGGCGAACGATACCATGCAAATGAATGCTTGTTTGTTAAAAAGTTTTTAAAGTGAAAACTTATCGTGGTGCGCTCAGAGATTAATTGGGATTGTAACTGATGATTTTAACTCCTGCATTTTTTTTTTAAACTAAGCCACGAAATCATTGACAACACAAATTTCTAAAATTTCAATAAAATCGTTGGTTTCCTCTATCAATTATTATTATGATTGATTGGTTTGTCTCTTCATGGTCCTTTTTTCGCACACTTTAGGCTAATGAGACCGAGACTTACAGTTTACTGGGAATTCCGAACCCCTCACAAACATCCATGCCCCGCAAGGATTCGAAGCTGAAGCCTGTGATACCAAACTCCAGAAAGCTAGTTAATTAGCCATCTGGACGTTGTGGGAGGAAAATTTGGATAACTGCGGCATATGAACCTCCCAAAACTTTTACCGGGTGGACTGATTATGGATGCGTGTCTCTTATACATATTCTGACAATCAATACGAAGGCTCCTCGTTTCTGAAAATAGCGGCAGCAACAGACTTTACCCGTAGATTCAAACCATAGCGCTTCCGCACGATATGCACATGGACACACTGACAATATTTATATAACCCTAATGAACCTTTATTTCGAATCTTTCTCGGACAGTGTTTATGTGGATGCCCTAATGAACCTTTTGTCACAAATCGTCCCCGAAAAGTGTCTATGTGGATCCCTAATGAAAACTTATTTCGAATCGTCCCCGAAAAGTGTCTATGTGGATCCCTAATGAACACTTATTTCGAATGGCCCCCGAAAAGTGTTCATGTGGATCCCTAATGAACACTTATTTCGAATCGTCCCCGAAAAGTGTTTATATGGATTCCTAATGAACCTTTGTCTCAAATCGTCCCCGAAAAGTGTTCATGTGGATCCCTAATGAACCATTATCTCAAATCGTCCCCGGAAAGTGTCTATGTGGATCCCTAATGAACACTTTATTTCGAATGGCCCCCGAAAAGTGTTCATGTGGATCCCTAATGAACACTTATTTCTAATCGTCCCCGAAATGTGTCTATGTGGATCCCTAATGAACACTTATTTCGAATCGTCCCTGAAAAGTGTCTATGTGGACCCCTAATGAACCATTATTTGGAATCGTCCCCGAAAAAGTGTCTATGTGGATCCCTAATGAAAACTTATTTCGAATCGTCCCCGAAAAGTGTCTATGTGGATCCCTAATGAACACTTATTTCGAATGGCCCCCGAAAAGTGTTCATGTGGATCCCTAATGAACACTTATTTCTAATAGTCCCCGAAATGTGTCTATGTGGATCCCTAATGAACACTTATTTCGAATCGTCCCTGAAAAGTGTCTATGTGGACCCCTAATGAACCATTATTTGGAATCGTCCCCGAAAAGTGTTTATGTGGATCCCTAATTAACCATTATCTCGAATCATCCCCGGACAGTGTTCACAGCGACCTTTAATGATCCATTATTTGGAATCGACCCTAATGAACCCTTATCTCGAATCGTCCTTATTATTATGAAGCAAAGCCAAGGCTTCGTGCATCATAGCTTTGTCTTCAATGTGGATACCTCCCCTCCCGGAAGGAGGGGGACGGGACTCTTCTGAAGAATGAGCAGGAGAGCAGTGTTGTTGTGGGTGAAGGGGTGCTCCATCAGAGGTCATTCACCTGTCGATTGACATCGGGCCTCCCACTTGTTTACTCTGAATGTTCCCATAACAAAAGGGGAGCACGTGCACAGGAGTTGTCGCCCTCATGTAAATATCCACACTAGGTTGTCAAAATCATTGAGACAATTTGTGATTATTATTAAATCATCCTATGTGTAGCAAATCATCAGATAATTTTAAAGATGCTCTTGATAATAAATTCCTGTCATCTTTGAGGACATTTTGTCGGATAAGTAATAAGTGTCTTTCAATTCTTCTATTAGCTCACACTCTCCCTATCTATATCTTGTTCATTTTTCAATCGTTCATAAAACACTTTCTGTTCCTCCACTCGAGTTCAAATACATTTTTTTGAACTTGTAGTGGATGACACTGGATGTTCATACAGTTTTTTCAAAATTAATTCATTTATTAAATTTAATTCATTCATTTAAGTTTTTTTTTTAGATTTATGTTGCATGTATCTACCAACAGATGGCGCCAAATAAACTTAAAAAATGAATGAAAATTATTTATAAAGGACTTTTTGCTATGGAGTCAAAAAAAGTAGGAATTGACTTTTAAATTTTTTTTTATATATTACTTGTTTTTTTTCAGATTATTTGAAAAATAAAATATGCACTTATTTAACATTTTTTTAATTATTTTTGGGGCCTGATGGCTGAGTGACTAGCACTCGGTGCCGCAGGTTTTGGGTTCGAATACCGACTGTGGTATGGATGTTTGTGGCGTTCGAATCCACTTTAAACCGTACGTCCCGGTCTCATATGGCTACTACTACTACAACACGCCACATCGCAGTGTCTAGGTGAAAAAAGTCAGATTGGTAGCTGTGACGCTCTACTTATGAGACATTTACTTACGGTTTAAAGTGGATTCCGAACCGCCACAAACATCCATACCACCGTCGGTATTCGAACCCGAAACCTGTGTTACCGAGCGGCAGAGCACTAGCCACTCGGCCATCTGGCACCCAGGACTAATATGACTGTAGAGCGTTGGACATAGGGCTGGCAATCTACCTCGTAAAAAAATCCCCTGACTCGAAATCTGCCAGGAGGCAGACGGCCTTGGCCCACCGTGGGACTGTTGGACTACTGATGGTTATTATTATTTGTTTAAATTAATTTAAAGCTGCATATTTACTGTTCAAATCAATGACATTTTAAATTGGCATTTTTTTAAAATATAAATAATAATGATGATAAACGATTTATTTGGGGATTTTTTTTGGAAATGTATCGTATTCTTTGTGTTCACAATTTTTTTTTGTGTATGTGTGTTTATTAGACCCTATTTTAAAGTTTTTACTTAATTAGGTTATGACTTACCTTATCTTTAGATAAGAGGGGCGGGCTACATGTGAACATCCTTAAAAGTTTCATTTTTAAATATTATTTAATCATTACTTTAAAATTCTCTTTCATTTTTTAAAATAAGTTTTATAATAATTCATATCAACTCGATTGTAGTCTACACCTTTACATCATCAGTGGAGCAACATCTCTATTAGCTCCATTATTACGATCCTACAGGTGTCGGGTTCGAGTCCCGGGTGCTATGGGTGTTTGTGGTGGTTCAAAGTCCCCTTTAAACCGTAGGTCCCGGTTTCGTAGGATCGTAGAGCATTCCGGGGTTATTGTTACTCCGCGTCCGTATCTTATTTTCAAGCTACACGCACCTCCTGGTTAGTGCTAAGTGAGTAACATCGGTGCAGCGTTTGCCTTAAGGCATCGAAGGCAATTGTCTAAGTGTTTTCCAGTTGCATTAGAAAAAAAGGATTGTCAGTCATACGCCCAGCAGTCATTTTAGACCGGCACCTACGGTTTAGAGTGGATTCCGAACCACTACAAATATCCATGGCACCGAACTCGCAACCTATAGTACCGGGCACCAGTATATATATATATATACATATATAGGTGCATATTCATAAAAAATTAACTATTTCCGAGTTATAATTATAAAGAATGGAAATGAGGGACTGCATAGCGCTCCGTACCAC